GAAGTCCGAAACTCTGTCCGGGCCTTGAATTCTCAGTTCAACACTCTCCTGTGTGGCTTTACTGCTTCGCCTGTCTTGCTTCCCAGTATTACTTTTTCCCGTTGTTCAGTATGTACAGAGCTGTTATGTGCCTGGCACTACACTCCGTGCTGGAGATACACCAGCGAAAACAACATAGCCGCAGTTTTCTCATAGAGCTTCCGTTCTACTAGGGAAACAGATGGTAAGCAAGACAATAAGAAATAGATAAGGTAATGACAGGGGCGCCTGGGTGGCTCGGTTGGTTAAGCATCGGACTCTTGGTTTCAGCTCAGGTCATGATTTCGGGGTCGTGGGATCGAGCCCCACATGGGGCTCTGCCCTCAGCATAGAGTCTGCTTGTCCCTCTCCCTCTGCCACTCCCCCTGCTCGGGGGTGCATGGGCGTGCACGCTCGCTCTCTGTCTCTCTCTCTAAAATAAATAAATCTTAAAAAAAAAAAAAAGAAATAGGTAATGTAATTACAGACCATGCAGAGTGTTTGAAGCATGTGATCGGAGGGCTACAATATCAATGAGTGTGGAGGGGAGGATAGTGCTAGATAAAGTGACCAGGGAAGTCCTCTAGAAGGAGGTGATATTTAAGTTGAGAATGGAAAGAAGAGAAAGAACCAGCCATGCCAAATATTAGAAAAATTGCTTCTAGGCTTAAGGAATTGCAAGTGGCTGAAGGTAAGCTAGAGCTTAAGATGCCCTAGGAGGTATCAGAGGGCCAGCATGGCTGCCGCCTAGTGTGACATACCAGGAGCCTGGAGAGACAGCCGGTGGTTCCATAGGACACGGTGAGGACTTGGTTTTTATTCCAAGTGCAGTGGGAAGCCATTGAATGGTTTGAGCAGGGGATGGTGGTTTGTGTTTTCAAAGAATTACTGTGATTGCTGCGTGGAGAATAGATTGTAGGGGAAAGTAGGATAACATGCTTTCTTATCACTTAGGATTTTATTTTATACTTAGATTTTGAAAATCGCCCCAGCCCTTGGCAACAGCTATTCTACTTTCTGTCTCTATGAATTTGACTACTCTGGGTACCTTATATAAATGGAATCGTACGGTATTTTTCTTCCTTTGACTGGCTGATTTCACTTAGCGTCGTGTCCTCAAGGTTCATCTGTGTTGCAGCACGTGTCAGAACATCCTTTTTAAGGCTGAATACTGTTCCATTGTGTGTATGTGCCACATTTTGTTTACCCATTTATCCATTGATGGACACTTGGGTTGCTCTCGCTAATAATGCTGCTGTGAACATGGGTGAACAGCTCACTGTTTGAGTCCCTGCTTTCATCTCTTGAGTACTTCCTAGGAGTGGAATTACTGGATCCTATGGTGATTCTATGTTTAATTTTTTGAAGAACCACCCAGCTGTTTAAAGTAGTGACTGCATCACTTGACATTCCCACCACCGGTGCACAAGGGCTCCAGTTTCTCCACATCCTCATAAACACTTGTTATTTTATGGTTTTTCAATGGCAGCCATCTTAATAGGCATGAGGTGTTATCTCATCGTGGTTTGATTTGCATTTCAGAAATCTAAAACTTTGAAAGTGTTTAAAGAAAGGAATGTGGAGCCTTTGCTTTGACCAGGCCAGAGTGAACACAGATAGATTCCTTGGGACCTTTGGCAGAGGGCCTGGTGAGAAAGGGTGGTGGCCTGGATAGGGTGGTGGCAGAGGAGCTGAGGGGAGAGGGTGGACCCAGGTCGAAGGAGCAGAGCTTGGTGATAAACTGGGTGTTTGAGGAGATGAGGGGAGGCGAGGAAACAGTGAACAAAAATCCTGGGTCTCTGGCTTGAGTAATTGGATCGGGAATTTCTGGTCCATGTTCCCCACCCTCCACCCCAGGTGAGTATTCATGGAACACTTCAGTCATTTCTTTCAGTGAGGTTTTTCATCTCAATCCCACTTCTCCGTTGGATGATTTGTGATGACCTTCACCGTTCGCCGTTCAGCTCAGGTCAGGGAGCGCTGAGCACCTGTTACAGAGCAGGTGTGATGCTTGACAGTAGGGAGGTAAGGATGGATAGGAGAAGGCGGTCTGGCTCTCAGAGGTTTGGTCTCAGGACTCCTTTATGCTCTTATGAAACCATGAAGATCTCAAAGAGCTTTTGTTTAGGTGGGTTCTATTCATTGATATTTACCACAATAGAAATAAGAAGTGAGAAACCTAAACAAAATAATAAAAACATTGTGTGTTAATATAAATAATGTATCTTTAATGAAAAAAACTACCTTTTCCAAAACAACATGTTTAGTGACAAAAGTTGACATTATCTTCACTTCTGCAAGTCTTTTAAATGTCCGATTTGCTAGAATACAGCTGAATTCTCATATTGAATTCCATATTTAAGTTGTTGCAACATGACATGTCACATAGTCTCTGGAAAACTCCACTGGACACTTGAGAATGAGAGGGAAAGAGGCAGATGTCTTAGTGATACTGTAAAAATAGCTTTGGCCTCAGCATACCCTCTGCAAGGGTCTTGGAGATCCCCAGAGATCCCCAGACCATTGGATTAGTGGTGAGGGCATAGGCTCTGGAGCCAGATTACATGAGCTTACATTCCAGTTCTGCCACTTACTAATTAGGCAAGGATGTAACCTCTGTGCCTCAGTTTGCTCATATATAAAATGGGATAAGTACCCACAGAGGCTCATTATAGGGGTTAAATGAGTATGGATTTATAAAGTGTTGAGAACATTGCTAGAAGACAAAGTGCCACATCAGTGTTTATTTTTTTTTAAATTTTATTTATTTATTTGAGAGAGAGAATGAGATAGAGAGAGAGGATGAGAGGGAAGAGGGTCAGAGGGAGAAGCAGACCCCCTGCTGAGCAGGGAGCCCGATGCGGGACTCGATCCCGGGACTCCAGGATCATGACCTGAGCCGAAGGCAGTCGCTTAACCAACTGAGCCACCCAGGCGCCCCATCAGTGTTTATTTTAAATTTAATATTATTCTTTTAATTTGTAATCTCTGCCCCCAACATGGGGCTTGAACTCACAACTCTGAGATCAAGAGTCGCATGTCCAACCAACTGAGCCAGCTGGGCGCTCCTCAGTGTTTATGTTTAATAATTAAGACCTGATCTTTTCCTTCAAGGGATTTAATCTAATGAAGTAGATAGATGAACAACCAGACAACTTGAGGATTTTGTGTAAGTTCGTTGATAGATGTATTTGCAGCAGGGGCATAGGAGTGGGCTTCTCAACTTTGGGGTCAAGAATCCTTGGTCCTTGGTTGTGTGAAGAATAAAAGGAGCAGATTTTCTGCAGTGTTAGAATGACAGATTCTTAGTTCAGATGAGGTCCATCCCAGTTAGCATTTGTCCTAGGTTAACTTTTTCATCTTCCTTATTTGTAAAGGAATGAGTGGAGCAGCCTAGTTGGTTTGCTTCTTTGATGCCTACGTAGAGCCAGAAGCCTCTCACAGTAGTTAGATGTCCTCACTGCCTGGGACAGCAGGTGGTCAGTGAGAGTTTATTGCCTGGTTATAAATTAATGATTATCAAAATGTGAGGGAAACATTTCTGGGATCCACTGGGATTTTGTGGTAGATATTTGTAATCATTGGATAACTCTGGGGTATTATTATAAGGAAGAAGTGTCAGATTATATTTTTATTGCAATTAAGTAAGACAAATTGAATTGCTTTGCACCTGAAAGTGATGGCAAAATTTGTGTCTTAGTGTAATGTTTGTTACTTTTGAAACTTTTGCTTTAGTAAATTAAATTGGGTATTTATTT